CATCCCTCCCTGGAGAGGAGCCACGCTGGGAACAGCTGGGATAGGAGCCATCCAGCAAAAACTGGGATGCCTGGGCAGGGACACGTCTCCCTCCCGCCAACCCAGTCCCCGAAGCACTGGGGAGACTGGGAGGAGACCCCGAAGGGAAGGGACGGGGGACGTGCCACATGTGCACGGTGCACAGGGAAGGGAACAGGGAAGGGAAGGTTGTTCCTGGTGGCTGTGGGGACACCTGGGACAGCATTGCCACCACGGGGTCCCTGCTGCCTGTGGGACTGGGGCTTGGGATGGGATTTGGGATGAGGATTGGGATGGGGATCGGGCAGTACCTGGAGCAAACTGCTCCCAGCCCCAGGGAGCTGCTGGCGGCCACAATTTGGCAACCAGGGGGGCAGCCAGGGAGCCCAGGGCCACCACCCCAACCCCAATAACACTTGGGGGTCCCCCTTCCTCTGGAGCCCCGGGAATGGCCCCTGGATCCTCCCAGGCAGGCAGAAGGGGAGGAGAGGCAGCCAGACCCTGAGGGTTGGGGTCCCCCCACATCCCCCCATATCCCTCTGTGCCCCACAGAGCACTTGTGTGTGTTCCCCCCATCTCTGCCCTGCCAAACCCCCTCAGCTGCTTGTCCTGCCCCTTCACATCCGAGGGTCCCCATCCCAGTGCCCCCATCCCACTGCTCCCACCCTGGGGTCCCAATCCCAGTGTCCCCATCCTGGGATCCCCGTCCCAGGGGTCCCTACCTCAGTGTCCTCATCCCGGGGTCCCCATCCCGGGCTTCCCATCCCAGTGTCCCCATTCCAGGGCTCTGCATCCCAATGTCCCCAACCCGGGGCTTCCCATCCCAGTGTCCCCATTCCAGGGGTCCCCATCCCAATGTCTCTCTCCACCCTGGGTTTCCCATCCCGATGTCCCCATCCCAGGACCTCCATCCCCGTTCCTGCCCCAGCCGGGCCGTGGTGCCACTCTCACCCCACCGGCGGCCGCGTTTTGGTGGCGGCGGCGGCGGTGGAGCCATTCCCTGGGATGATGAAAACCAGGAGAGTTTTCCCCCGGGGCGAAGGAGTTCCCTGCACCCTCCGCCCGGCCGGGCGCTTGGCAGGCTCGCCGGGAGGTGTGGGCACGCCGGGATCGCGGCGCTGCCGGCCCGGTCCCGGCTCTGGAGAGGCACCGGAGCCTTTTCCCGTGGGATTGGGGGCAAGGTGGGCTTCCACCGGGGGTCCCCGCGCGGCTGTGGCCGCCCCCAGCCAGGCCCCGGGGGTTTGGCCGTGGAAATGGGGACACGACGCGCCGGTGATTAAGTGGCTCCACTGGTGTTGTCACCCGGCAGTCCCGGGATTTCTCGGCAGCCTCGGGGGGGACACGGGAGACAGGGGGGGTTGGACACCCACGGCTGAGCAGGGATGGGGTGGCCCAGCACCTCCCGGTCCCTTTGGGGGTGCCCCAAATCCCATTTGGGTCGTGGTGGGTCCTGCAACCATCATCCCACTCCCTCCCGCCGCGGGTCCGGCTCCGGCCCCAAAACTTGTCCCCTGTGTCCGTCCCCGTCCCGTTTATCCCATGGCACAGGGCTGAGCCACAACGGGGGGGGCACCGAGCCCCCCAAGGGGGCAGGTGACATCTCTGGGGGGCAGGAGCAGCGGTCACCTCGGTGTGACACCCCCGGAGTGGGGACACAGACGGGGGGACCCCAGGAGGGGCGGCAGGAGGAAGGTGGGGCACGTCTGCGTGTCACCCCCGGGCGGGAGGACAGGAGGGGTGCCCGGGGGTCCCCGGGGGTGGCGGGGGGGTGGCAGGAGGAGGCGGCCACGGGCGCGGGAGGGAGGCGGTTGTTTCTTTCTTCTTTAATTACCCCCCTGTTTGCGGTGTCTGCTGCGAACTTCCCGTCCCCTCCCTCCGCTTTCATCCGCCGGATCCTGGGACCGGAGCCGGCTCCTGTCAAGCGGCGGGGCTGGGGCTCTGCCTCCAAGGGTTAAAATCACCGGGGCCGGGGGTGGAGCTGGGCGGGGGGGCGGAGGGAAGAGCCGGCGGCCGGGCTGGGACCCGGCCATTCCTGCTCGCCCGGCCCAGTGGGTGCCCCGTCCCTGGGGAGCCGCGCGGGTCCCTCGGGGTCCCCTCGGGAAGCAGCGCCCGCGCCCCGCCGATGAGGACGGACCCGCCGGGACCTCGCTGCCGCCGCTAGACCCGTACGTACCCCCGGGACCGAGGGGGGAGCCCCCCGACGGGATCCGTCCGGGAGGGTCCCCGGATGCCCCTGACCGACGGCTGGGAACGGGCCGCCCGCTCCGGCCCCGGCAAGTCTCTGCTCGCCGAAACGCCGCGTCCAGTGGCCACCGAGCCCCGGGGCTGCCGGGCCCGCCGCCTCCCGGGACGCCCCGATGTGTCCCCCTCCCTCTCCAATTTACGGCCCCTCCTGCGGGGCTGAGATCCCCTCCCGTGGGGCTGAGACCCCTTCCCGTGGGATTGAAACCCCTTCCCATGGGATTGAAACCCCTTCCCATGGGACTGAGACCCCCTCCCGTTGGGCCGAGCCCCCACCGGCCCCGCAGGGGTGCCGAGCCGTGGTGGGTGCGGGGGTGAGATGCGGGGGGCTGGACAGGCTGGACCCCCCCCCCGCCGCCACCGTTTCCCTCCAAAAAAACCCCCCCGGGGAGTTTCGCTGCGGCTCCAGGACGCGTTGCCGCGAGCTGGGCAGGGAGTGGGGAACCCCGAACCCTCGGCATCCCCCCGAATCCACGGCATCCCCCGGAAACCGCGGCATCCCCGCCACCCCGCGGCATCCCCCCGAACCCACGGCATCCCCCTGAACCCACAGCATCCCCCCGAACCCACGGCACGCCCCCAAAACCCGCGATATCCCCCCGGAAACCCACCGCCGCCGCCGCCCCCGGCCCACCCGTCGGGGGCTCCCGGTGCTGGGGGGCAGCGGCGCCCGCCGCGGGGCGAGGCACCGGCGGGGCTGGGAGAGACGGGCCGGGCCGCCTGTGCCCAGCCCGGGCCGTGACTCACGGGACGCTTCACCCGCCGCTGCCTCAGTTTCCCTGCGGTGAAATGGCCAACGCGTCGCCGGGCCCCGCCAGGGAGGGAGGGAGGGAGGGAGGACGCTGGGGGCCCCCCCCTGGGGATTTTTGTCATCCTTCCCGCATGGAAAAATGTCCTGGGAAGGCTCCGCGCGTGGCTGGGGCAGGCCCGTGGCGGGGGGTGCTCCCAGTGCTTACCCCCCTTCCCCATCCCAGTCCTGGTCCTCGTTCGCTGGTTTTGGAGCTGGGAGGGGTGGGGGTAAGGTGGGGATGGTGCGACTGGTCGGGGTGGGGCTGCACTGGGGGGCTTGGGGGGACCCCCGAGCCGAGGGGGACTCGTGGAAGTGGGGTCAGAAGAGCCGTGGAGTGGCCGTGCTGGAGCCGTGTCAAGGGGACCTCCCCGGGACCCCACAGAGGGTCCCCTTCCCCTCCCATCCTGGTTGGGGGGCTGGGAGACATCCCTGCCGTGTCCCCTGTGTCCCCAGACCCGGAGGGAGCCCTGTGCCTTCCAGCTGCCACCCCAAAACTCTATGACAGGCTGTCACCGTGGGGTTTTGGGGGTTTGACCCCAATTTTGGACCCAAAGGGAGCAGAGGGCTCAGGACCCCGCTGGGGACTTCTGTGGGTGGAAGTGATGGACCCTCTTGGTGCCAACCCTCTCCTGACACCCCCAGGATGGTCCCCAGGGTTGGGGTGGGCAGAGCTGAGCTCCAGCTGGGGAGCAGGACCCCAAAACCTGCTCAGGCTGCCACCCCAGGGGGCTCATCCCAGCACCAGCTCGAGGCTGAGCCCCCACAGGCGTTGGTAGCACAGGTAGAGATGGATTCTGTCAGGGGGATTTTGGGAACCCCCCTCAATTCCCACCCAGATCCTCGGGATCCTCCTGCCCTCCTGGGTGACACCTGGCAAGGGAAAACGGGGTCCCCACACAGCTGGGGGGTCTTCCCAGGCAGCCTCCCTGCCCCGGACTCAGTGCTGGGGATGGGGGGGCTCTGGGGGTCCGGCCCCTTTGTTCGGGGGATCCCCCACCCCAAAGCTTCCAGCACCCTCCGAGTGTCTCCCTGAGGGTCTGTCCCTGTCCCACACGGGCTGGAGTGGGGTGGGGATGAAGGGCCGGGGGGGGGAACAGCGGGGGGTGGAGGGGGCTGGGAGAAGGAGATGGTGGCAGGAGGGGTTTTTTTTGGTGAGGGGGGGGTCTCGGCCACCCCTCCCCGCGGCGCCGGTGGGAAGTCGGGGGGCGGGAGCCGGTGGCGGCAGGTGGATTTCGACACCGGGGTGGGGCCCGTCCCCAGTGGGGTTTGCAAAGCTCCCGCTGAGTCACGGCCGCCCTGCCGGGGGGGAAGGAAGGCAGCGGCCGCCCGGGGGTCTGGGGGTGCAGCGGGTGCCCCGGGGGAGAGCCCAGAGCCCGCCTTCAAAGGGCTGCCGCGGGCACTGCCCGGGGCTCCGCCGGCTCATCCCGCTGCCAACCAGCCCCCAAAAACGCCCGGGGGCTTCCAGCCGGGATTAGGACAGGAGCAGGGAGGGGGGCGATGGTTTCCCAGCCCGGCTGAGGGGCGGGGGAGCCAAAGTGGTCTCGTGGGTGTTGTCGGGACACGGGCTTGGGGATGCCACTCACGGCCTGGGGGGTGACAAGGCAGGGGCTGCCGGTTTCCTTGGGTTTTGGAATTAGCCACCGACCCCTCTGGGCCACAGACGTGACCCACCAAGGGGTGGCACGGGGTCCGTAAGGGACGGGTGTTAAGGGGTGGCTCCCCCCAGACTGGTGCCACCATCCTGGTGCCACATCGGGCTGCAGAGCAGCGAACCCCCCTGGGTTTGGTGACCCCCAAAAGGCGGGTGACGGGCGCGGGAGACGCGGAGGGGCGGGGAGGGGGGGGTGCGGAGATGCGCCCCCCCCTCTTCTCACAGCTCTTCTTCCCCCCCCTCCCCTCCCCGCCCACCCCCTCCTCGGCCCCGCAGGTCTGTGCGCGCCGCCGCCCCGCGATGCTGACGGCGGTCTGCGGCTCCCTGGGATCCCAGCCCTCGGACGCGCCCCGCGCCTCCCCGACCCACCTGGACCTGCAGCCGCTCCAGCCCTTCCAGCCGCACGCCCCCGCCGCCCCGGGAGCCCCCGACTTCGCCTCCCCGCTGCCCCCGCCGGAGCTGCCGCTGCCGGGGCCCGACGACTCCGCCTTCGCCGCCCCCGGCGCCTACGAGCCCCATGGCCCCCCGAGGTTAGAGCTGCCCCCCGACGGCCCCGCCGCCCCCGGCGCCTACGCCAAGCTGCTGCCGGCCCCCCCGGACATGGCGCACCCCTACGAGCCCTGGTTTCGGCCCCCCCACCCCGGCGCCCCCGGCGAGGAAGGAGGGGGCGTCAACTGGTGGGACCTCCACGCCGGGGCCAGCTGGATGGAGCTGCCCCCCGGGCAGGGCGGGGGGCTGCAGGTGCCCGCGCACCCGGGGCTGCCGCCGGCCCTGGGCGGGTACGGCCCCGGGGGGGAGCACCAGCTCTGCGCGCCCCCCGCCCACCTCCTGCCGCCGCCGGCGCAGCATCTCCTGGGCGCCGAGGGGGCGAAGGCGCTGGAGGGTCCCCCGGAGCCGCAGGCGGAGGGCGGGGGGCGTCCCAAAGGCGCCCGGCGGGCCGTGCCCAGGGGCGGGGGGCAGGCGGCGTGTCGCTGCCCCAACTGCCAGGAGGCCGAGAGGGGCGGCCCGTGCCCCGAGGGGGCGAAGCGCAAGCACCTGCACAACTGCCACATCCCGGGCTGCGGGAAGGCGTACGCCAAGACCTCCCACCTGAAAGCCCACCTGCGCTGGCACAGCGGCGACCGGCCCTTCGTGTGCAACTGGCTCTTCTGCGGCAAGCGCTTCACCCGCTCCGACGAGCTGCAGCGGCACCTCCAGACCCACACCGGCGCCAAGAAGTTCGCCTGCCCCGTCTGCGGCCGCGTCTTCATGCGCAGCGACCACCTGGGCAAGCACATGAAGACCCACGACGGGGGCAAGGACGGGGGCGAGCCCGACGGCGGGAAGGGCGCCGGGGACCCGTCGGCCGCCAAGGGAGGAGGCAAGAGGGAGCCCGAGGGGGGCAACGCCGCCGCCCCCACAAACTGAGCCGCTGAGCCCCGGGGGGGGGGGGCACACACCCCCGCGGGGTGGGGGGGGGGGGGACCGGGGGGACCCTTCGGGGCCGGTCTCCGAAGGGATTTGGGGGGTGGGCGCAGGGCTGGCACCTTGTGCCGCGGGCGGTGGCGAGGAGGGGGGGACAAGGGCTGGTGGCACAGCCCCGGCCCCCGCTGCGGCGTTTGGGGAGCGCCGGAGCCGGAGCTGCCCCGAGGCGGTTTCACTTGTCCCGCTCCCGCTCTCCC